AGAAATGCAGAAAATAATTACAAGACAAAAAGGGAAAGGTTAAATTCCAGAGTTTCCCTTGAAGAACGTATATAAATAAGGACTGGTTAATAAGTAAATCCGGATAGGCCGGAAAGCTTCCAGAATAGTAATAACACAGAGATGGGGGGGGGAGATCGAATCGATAGAGCCGCAACGTCCCAAAAACACAATTTCGAACTAAAGGTCTAATTTATGTAGAGCATTGCGATTCCGAATTGGTAAACCACCTAAATACAAATAACTTTTGGCCAATTGGAACACAAGATGCGTCGAATTCCCGCAAAACATACACAAAACAATGCATTTCAATTGGAAGTTTACAGATGATTTATCGACGTTTATTGCGAACGATTCGTAACAGTTCGCATTTCTCGTTAAAAACAAATAATGTGTGTGTCCAATGTAAAATCGGAGAATAAACAAAGCGAAATCACATTCAGCTGTGTTTATTTATCGTTTCGTTGATTTGATGTTGTAATAAAACTGAATAGCTGAAATGAATGAAACACTAAACAAATCTCAATAAATTATTTTACAATGTTAGTACGAAAAATCTCGATAAATATTAATGTTATTATTAACATTTAATCTGCAAATTGCAGCTAAATCTATACATAATAATACTATTATAATCAGGGATTTGTATCTTTCATCAATTTTTGGTAATTCTCTGTCAAAGTTGATATAACATACTTTTTATATTTTTATTTGTAACTCAATAACAATACATATCACAAATTGTATTAAAGATGCAATTTAAAGGTGAATATATAGAGAAATAAATATGTGTAAGGTGAAAGTGTAATCTCTTTCCGTATTCTTATAATTCGCTGTTAAAATTAACGTAAAACAATTTATCACAGCCTTCTTATATTTTTAACTATTACTCAATAACAATTGATGCCATAATTAATATTAAATATGCCAATTGAAGGTAAATGTATGGAGAATAAAATAATCAAAAGGTGAAAGTTGTAACTTTTTCCAATTTCTTGAAAATCATTATCGAAATTAACAAAACTAAATTTTTAAACATACTTTTTATAATTGTTGTTTATTGCAAAGATCATTGATGTCCCAATTAATATTAAATATGCAAATTAAAGGTAAATATATAGAGAATAAAATAATCAAAAGGTGAAAGCTCTAACTTCTTCCATTTTCTTGAAAATCACTATCGAATTTAACAAAACTAAATTTTTAAACATACTTTTTATAATTGTTGTTTATTTCAAAGATCTTTGATGCCACAATTAATATTAAATATGCAAATTAAAGGTAAATATATAGGAGAATAAAATAATCAAAAGGGAAAGTTCTAACTTTTTCCAATTTCTTGAAATGAAATATATATACAATCTTATAAGCTTATCGATTAAATTGAAAGAATTAATCAAAAGGCAAAGTTGTAACTTTTCCAATTTCTTGAAAATCACTATCGAAATTAAAAAACAAAATTTTTAAACATACTTTTTATAATTGTTGTTTATTTCAAAGACCGTTGATGCCACAATTAATATTAAATATGCAAATTAAAGGTAAATTATGGAGAATAAAATAATCAAAAGGTGAAAGTTCTAACTTTTTCCAATTTCTTGAAAATCACTATCGAAATTAACAAAACTAAATTTTTAAACATACTTTTTATAATTGTTGTTTATTTCAAAGATCTTTGATGCCACAATTAATATTAAATAGCAAATTAAAGGTAAATATATAGAGAATAAAATAATCAAAGGGAAAGTTCTAACTTTTTCCAATTTCTTGAAAATACTATCGAAATTAACAAAACTAAATTTTTAAACATACTTTTTATAATTGTTGTTTATTTCAAAGATCTTTGATGCCACAATTAATATTAAATATGCAAATTAAAGGTAAATATATAGAGAATAAAATAATCAAATGGCGAAAGTTCTAACTTTTTCCAATTTCTTGAAAATCACTATCGAAATTAACAAAATTAAATTTTAAAGCATACTTTTTATAATTGTTGTTTACTTCAAAGATCTTTGATGCCACAATTAACATTAAATATTCAAATTAAAGGTAAATATATAGAGATGAAATTAATTATTGGATACAAATTGTATCTTTTTCGGTATTATTGCAATTCACTGTTAAAATTGATGCAACGAAATATTATTATAAATAATTTTATTTCACACAATTTTATATATGAAATAGAGCGAAAATGTATTCAAAACGCGTATGCAAACAGATTATCGACTTTAATTGCAATTAATTTGCGCGTATACTGAATAAAGTTCAAATTAATTTGTAACATGCTGCAGCAATATCAATACTGAACTTAATCGCTTTTCCATAAATTTCAATGATTGATAGAATTTGATGAATAAATCAATGCTTATGCTTTTGATTACATTAAAAAAAAAAACAATTAATTTTATGTAATTTGGATTTTCTTTTAAGTTTTTGAAAAGAAAACAAAAAATGTTAAACAATCTTAGACGTTGTTACGTTTCGAATTGAAGTGAATATTGGAGCGAAGATGTGAACGTTTCTTGGTTGATAGTGGGCTTAATAATATCGAGTTTTCGTTGCGTAATCTTCTACGCCGTTTGCTGATCCTGGGACATCCGCGAAAATTTATCGCTGCGGCTAATCCCAAATCGATGACAATTTTGCGCCAAAATTCAAATTAATGTTTCTTCCCACCTATCTCTCTCTCTCTCTCTCTAACACACACGTACAATCATACTTGTATACTCTCTCTGTTTATCTCCCTTTCTGCTCTTTGTGTGTTTTGTTCGCGTCGATCGATGCGAATCGTGCAAAATGTACAATGAGGCTGAGCGACAGAACAAAACCTCCGTTTGTGTTTTAACACAAATAGATTAAATACCAACAAATCCCTTTGTCCTTGCAAGCTTTAAACTAAGTAAAACATTCGAATTTTATTAAATTATACAAAATAGATGAAATAAACGTCGACATGTAAAATAAACATTTGATTTAGAGATTATAAATGTTTATCTTTTGCAGCACGTTCTGAAACATGTAAATATTTCTTCTTTTAAAGATCTTTTTCAGCTGATCATCTGTATAAATTAACTTGGGTCAATTTTGTACTTTTGTACTTTTCAGAACATTATTATTGGATGTATTAATAGAAATATTTAAAAAAAAAATATTACATCAATTTTGACCGTGAATTGCAAGAATGCGGAAAAAGATAGAACTTTCAGCTTACGATTATTTTCTTCTGTATATATTCACCTTTAATTTGCATATCTTATTTTAATTGTGGCATCATTTGTTATGGAGTTACAGGTAAAAATACAAGAAGGCTGCTAAAAATTGTCAATTGAAAAAACGTCAATTTTGACAAAGAATTGCAAAAATACATTTTACCACTATTTTATTGTCTATATATTTGCCTTTAATTTGCATATTTAATATTAATTCGGATATCAACGGTCTTTGAAATAGGAAGCAATTATAAGGAGTCTGCTTGAAATTAATTTTGTTAATTTTGATAGTGATTTTCAAGAAATTGGAAAAAGTTACAACTTTCACCTTTTCATTATTTTATTCTTTATATATTTACCTTTAATTTGCGTATTTAATATTAATTGGGACATCAACGGTCTTTGAAATAAACAACAATTATAAAAAGTATGCTTAAAAATTTAGTTTTGTTAATTTCTGTAGTGATTTTTAGAAATTGGAAAAAGTTAGAACTTTCTCCTTTTGATTATTTTATTCTCTATATATTTACCTTTAATTTGCATATTTAATATTAACTGAGGCATCAATGATCTTTGAAATAAACAACAATTATAAAAAGTATGTTTAAAAATTTAGTTTTTTTAATTTCGATAGTGATTTTCAAGAAATTGGAAAAAGTTAGAACTTTCACCTTTTGATTATTTTATTCCCTATATATTTACCTTTAATTTGCGTATTTAATATTAATTGGGACATCAACGGTCTTTGAAATAAACAACAATTATAAAAAGTATGCTTAAAAATTTAGTTTTGTTAATTTCTGTAGTGATTTTTAAGAAATTGGAAAAAGTTAGAACTTTCTCCTTTTGATTATTTTATTCTCTATATATTTACCTTTAATTTGCATATTTAATATTAATTGTGGCATCAACGACCTTTGAAATAAACAACAATTATTAAAAAATTAGTTTAGTTAATTTCCATAGTGATTTTCCAGAAATTGGAAAAAGTTAGAACTTTCACCTTTTGATTATTTTATTCTCTATATATTTACCTTTAATTTGCATATTTAATATTAATTGGAACATCAACGGTCTTTGAAATAGGAAACAATTATAAGGAGTCTGCTTGAAATTAATTTTGTTAATTTCGATAGCGATTTTCAAGAAATTGGAAAAAGTTACAACTTTCACATTTTGATCATTTTATTCTTTATATATTTAGCTATAATTTGCATATTTAATATTAGTTGGGACATCAACGGTCTTTGAAATAGGAAACAATTATTAGGAGTCTGCTTGAAATTTAGTTTTGTTAAATTCGATAGTGATTTTCAAGAAATTGAAAAAAGTTACAACTTTCAGCTTTTGATTATTTTATTCTCTATATATTTACCTTTAATTTGCATATTTAATATTAATTGGGACATCAACGGTCTTTGAAATAGGAAGCAATTATAAGGAGTCTGCTTGAAATTAATTTTGTTAATTTTGGTAGTGATTTCCAAGAAATTGGAAATAGTTACCACTTTCACCTTTTCATTATTTTATTCTCTATATATTTACCTTTAATTTGCATATTTAATATTAATTGAGACATCAATGATCTTTGAAATAAACAACAATTATAAAAAGTATGCTTAAAAAATTTAGTTTTGTCAATTTCGATAGTGATTTTCAAGAAATTGGAAAAAGTTAGAACTTTCACCTTTTGATTATTTTATTCTCTATATATTTACCTTTAATTCGCATATTTAATATTAATTGAGACATCAACGGTCTTTGAAATAGGATGCAATTATAAGGAGTCTGCTTGAAAGTTGTTTTCATGAGAAAATGTTCATTGTTTTGGGACAAATCTCTAGCAAAAACCCAATTTGTTCCGCCGTTGCAGATGTCTTCCCTCGAGGTGTGCGTTTAAATTAAAACCAATTCAGTTGCAGCGATGATTGAAAAAGTAACGTTGTTGTTGTTGTTGGAATAGAAATAATTTGGCGTGCTGAAGAAATTGGAAAGAGTTCTTGTGTTGTGTGTAAAATTTGGTGTGATACGAATTTTGGATACAAATCTGGCGGGCAGTCGTAGGAGTTCACGGGCTGGAGGCCCACAACAGTGGACCTACGAGATGTTACCCAACGGAGAATACTCTCCGCAGACAGCGAAGGTCCGCGTCAACTTTCCACCAGACACGCTGGATAGAAGACACAGCAGATCTCTGCTCATTCCCAGGAGAAATAGGAGCATGAGCGCTTGGAGTGACATCAGCCGTTCCAGCTGGAGACTAGACGAGAGGTAAACGTACATTTCAATAGTTAAATGTTGAATGCAGATAATGCAAGTTGTTTCAATTGAATCGATTCAATTTTGATTGAGTTATTGAAGTTTGAAAATTTTTCATCAAAATTTTACATTATTTTATTAAGTCAAAATAAAGAAAATTTGGGAATGATATAATTTTAATTAATAAAAGATTGTGATTTTTGAGTTGCAATTATATTAGGTTAAAGAAAAGTATAAGATAAAAAAACGAAAGAGAAAAAAAACGTAACAATAATTCGGGAAATAGATTAAGAAAAAAAGTGATTATTTCTATACTGGAATGGCCGCAATCGTCATCGAAGATCATCATATTTTTGGTCGAAGCGTTCGGATTGTATCAACGGAGGATCGGAGTACGTAAATCTCTACCGAAAGCGTCGCTCATCATCATTTTGGTCGGCTGTTGGATGTTGTAACCGCTATTGAAGCCGGAATAGAAACTATCCTGCGGTCTCATGCCGACGTGCAGAAGACATCTGCTGCTGGATCCAGCAGAATCCGTGGATGATTGTGGTGAAAGAGGAGATTCATCGGATTGAGACCACATTCCGAACGATCTTTGCGGATCGCTTTTCTTGATCTTCTCCTGCTTCATCTTGATGACTTGCTTACGAATACGCGGAGGAAGAGATCTAGAAAATAAGAATTTTCCGATTTAAATTAATGAAGATTTGAGACAACAACAACAAAAACTAACGTGCAGAAATGATCTGGTGGTGTGGTCAATCTGGAAACTTTGCTGCAGAATTTCGGGCGAGCCCAGGTGACTTCGATTAGGCTGTCTTTCCAATAAAGACCTTACAAACATACAAAGAGTTAAGGGAAATAGGAATTTGTATTGTGTTGAATAATAATACCGTGCAAAGTGTAGAGGGCTTCCTCGGCTGATTCTCTATTGACGAAATGGACGAAGGCAAAGTCCATAATCTTGTGCAACTTGATTACCTTTCTCATGTCCACGTGTAAAGATAAGAAAGCTTGGAGCGCTTCGTTCGGTGACTCCAGGTCCAAATTTCTCAAATAGAGTTTGGAAATCTGAAAGAGATTGAAATTCCCAAATAAAAGTGATAAAGAAATGGAATAATAAATTCTAATGTAAATCATTGTAGACTCATGGAAATTAATGACAATTGGAGAGAAACATGTCAATATTTTGGTAATAAAACTAACTGTAAATAAAAGATATCAATTTTGCAAATATTGAGAAATTAAACTAAGAAAATATTGTGAAAAATCAATACTTTTATGATTTGTGTATTCATTTTATTTATATATTCTTTTCTTGAAATATGAAAATTGAAAAATTTTATAATCTCAATAGAAAACAAGGTCAATTTTGAAAAAAAAGGTCACTTAATTAACTTAAATTTAGAAAATAATGAAAATCTAATTGAAATAACTAAAAATAAATAGAAATTATGTAGAAAATAAAAACAGAGTTAAAAATTTTGAATTAATTGAATTATTTTCATCATTTGATCAAAAAGAATGTTTAAAATTATGGAATTAATACAAAGTTTATGTAGAAAATTATAAAAAATTATTGTTAATGTGAATTATTTGATTAAAATGTGTAAATAATGAATAAGAAATAGAAATTATTTTTGATTTAGTTGGAAATATGTAGAAATTTCTGAAATGCAGGTAAAATCATACAAAAACTAATTGAAATTTTGAAAAAGAAAGGTAAAAGTTAATTAAAATGAATAATTGTTAATGAAAATGATGCAGAAAATTTGGAAATAATTGAAAATTGTACAAATTTTTGAATTTGTTTAAATTGTTTAAATTAATCAAAAATGTAGAAATTCTGAAAAAAAAAATGAATTATAAATATATAAAAATATTATATAAAAACAAGTTGGACAATTGTTGTTAATCATTTTTAATTATTTTAATTTGAAAATGGAAATATCTCAAATGCAAATTTAGAAAATAAATGAAGAAGAAAATTTGGAAAATTATTGAAAAATAAGAAAAATAATAAGATAAAGAAATGGAATAACAAATTCTAAGAAAAAATGAATGTAAATCATTGTAGACTCATGGAAATTAATGACAAAAACAATAATAAAACTAACTGTAAATAGAAGATATCAAATTTGCAAATATTGAGAAACGTTGAAAATTAGTTATAGAATAAATTAAACTAAGAAAATAATGAAAAAAATCCATATTTATTACAAATTTTTTAAATAAATTGAAGAAATATAAAATTATCTTTAAAAAATAGAAAAAAGGTCAATTTTGAAAAACAAGGTCACTTAATTAACTTAAGTTTAGAAAATAATGAAAATCTAATTAAAATAACAAAAATAATTAAAAGTTATGTAGAAAATTAAAATTAAGTTAATATTTATGAATTAATTGAAATATTTCATCAATTGTTCAAAAAACGTTTAAAATTATGAAATTAATACAAAGTTTATGTAGAAAATTATGAAAAATTATTGTGAATAAAAAAAATAAAATGAAAATGAAAATGAATTATTGTTAATGAAAATGATGCAGAAAATTTGGAAATAATTGAAAATTGTACAAATTTTTGAATTTGTTTAATTAATTAATCAAAATTGCAGAAAAATTAGTATTAATTTAAAAATTTAAATATCTCAATTGCAATTTAGAAAATAAATGAAAAGGAAAATTTTAAAATTATTGAAAAATAAGAAATGTTGAATAAAAGTAATTTAAATAATTGAAATTAATGAAAAAAAAAAATGTTATAAAATACTTTGAATTTACAAGATTATCAAAATTTACTGATTTAATTTACAAAATCTAATTGAAGTTATGAAAAATACGGTTTAATTAATGAAATGTTTGAAATTACAAAAAAAAATATAAACAATTTTGGTTTGTAAATTATAATTAAATTAAAATATCTTCATTTAGAAATTCATGGAAACTAATGCAAGTTAGTAAACTAAATAATATAAATCAGTATTTGCGTAATTTGAAAAATTGATTTGTTTAACTTAAACTTTAAGTTACACAAATCAATTTTTAAGGGAATTAAGGGATGTTTTTTTTTTGTTAATTTCACAAAAAAAAATGTATGTTTTTACCTTGGCCATGATGCTGGGGTTGACATCTGGAAGTGGATCAGCCCAGTCGACCAGGATCGGAACACCCCACATAATAACAGATCCAGGTGCCAACTTCCTTCTAGCCATCGCGGCCAATCGATGCTCCTCGAACTCGACGAAAACGAATCCACGATTCTGCCCACGTTCGAGCCTCGAGAAATACATGATCACCTCCTTGATGCCCTCCACGTACACGCTGAGCCCTTGATAAACCTCCTCCTTACCGATGTTCTTCGGAATCCCACCGATGAAGAGCCTACAGTTGTCGATCGACTTGTAAACCCCGATCCGTTTACCGCTCCTCACCGTCGCATCGTGCAGATTATCCACAGCCAAATTGGCAAACTCTTGACTGTAATAAGAAACGAAAGCGAAGCCACGATTCATCCCCGAGAAATCCATCATCAAACGCAACTGGTAAATGGGACCGATCTGCTCGAAGATTTCAACAATCTCATCTTCGAACATGTTCCTCGGTAACTTTCCCACGAAGACTTCGCATCCCTTCTTCGGTGGAGCGTCCGCGTCCGGAGCGGAGTAAACTCTTTGTCCGTTCGTCTGGATCATCCTGTAACCGGTCCTCTTCACCAGAGCCAACAAACGCATCCTCATCATCTGTTCAGTAGTCTCTTCTTCGATCGAATCCATCGATGCTTCACCGGAATATCTAACACCTTCCATGGTCATCATCTCGCCGAAGTCGGAACGAAAATGTGCCGAAAATTTGGCGCTCCGCTCTTTTTAAATCGACGACTTCTTCGGCTCCCCGCTTCTTCGCACAAGCTGTCTTTTTCACAACCAGACGCTTTTTTTCCTTCAGAACTACATTCGCTCACACAGTTCTTTTTTTTTTGCTTTTTGAACAAGTAAACAAATACAAAAATCGTCCGATTCTTTCACACAAAACTATTGCGCAATTAATATTAAAAAAAAAACATACCCAATATACAAGAAAATTCTTACAAAACTTACAAAATAATCATTTCATTGATTTCATTCAAATCCAAAGATTTATAAACGTAATTTTAGCAATCACACAAAAAAAAATAGTAAAAACTGATTGTAACTAAGATTTAAACTAATCAATAAAGTTGATTATCTAAAGATTGAGAAGTTGCGAATTTTGACGTAATTCTTGCAAATTACTCAAACAAATTTAGTGAAAACTCGTTGAAACTATGACTTAAACTAATAATCAATAAAATAAGTCTATTATCATAACGATTTAAGTCATGATATACAAAATTCTGGTTTATTTTTGATTTGGTACACATTTTGTAAAGTGTTCGAATTTTCATGTAATTCTCGCAAATTCCACAAACAAAGTTAGTGAAAACTCATTGAAACTAAGACTAAATCTAATAATCAATAAAATAATTCTATTTTTTTTGTGAATATTTTAGCAAAATTTACATTTAAATGAAAATTGAATTTGATAAACCATAAAATTAGTGTACTTTCTTAATAATTTATAAACTTTTCTTAAAAGTTTTTACGAATTTCTTCAAATTTAGATGAAGTTGAATTAAACCATTAAAATAAGTTAATTAGTGTAATAATTCATTATTTTATAAAAGTTTCTCAAGTTTTTACGAATCTCTTGATTTTTTTTTGTAAATTTTAATGAAGTTGAAAATATAATCTGAATGAATCCAAGAAAATTAGTCTATCTTTGATTTATACTAAATTTACACTCTTGAAACTAAAATTATTCAGTTTAAAGTTTAGTAAATGCAATTCATTGAGATTTCTATAAAAAATTAAGAAATCAATTAATAGATTTTATAAATTTTGAATTAAATTGAAACCTTAATTTGTAAAGTATATTTTTGCAAAGATTTTACGTGTAGTAAAAGAGAAACGAGTTTAATCTAGATATTATTATTTCCAACTTCGGTCAGACACTTTTTTTGGTTCCTCTTCGACGCAGAGAAGAAATCCTGCCAATTCGTTTAAAAAGAAAACATAAATGAATCAAAGAAATCTACAAAAAAAAAATTGTTGACATCTTCAGGATTTGTTTTGCAAAATGTAATATTTGTTGTAAATTGTAAATAAGACAATATTGAATTAGTAGAAAATGTAAAAATACGTTTTATTAAAACAACAAAAGATATGATAAAATATTTGATTATATAGAGAAAACACGATATAAAAAGCAGAATTTTGGAGATCGACGAAACGGCAACAAATGAAAATTATCAATTAATATAGATGAAAGTACAGAATTGCGATTTACATGTTGGTCTTTTTGTAATTGATTTTTCAAAATCGATGAAACATTGTTTAGATTTCAAACGTATCACAAAAATTGCATAAATGGAATGAGGCAAGAAAAGTAGAATTAATATATAAATTAAACAATGTTTGATTGTTGTTGTTGAGTAAATTGTTAACTCGAGATTCAAATTAATATAGTTAGAATTATATAGATTGTTTTATAATCTAAAAAGGCCGTTCGGATTCTGCTTAATTTTTAAGAAAATTAATAGAGTAAAGTAAGTAAGGAATAATAATGAATTAGTATTGTACTGAGTAAACGCTCAATTCGTCGAAGAATGAAGAGGAGCATTCGGAGAAACCGCTTGTCCTGGATGCAAAAGAATCGTCCAAGCTGAAACTGGATGAAAAAAATAAAGATTAGTGTTTAAATAAATCAACAAAAATGGATAAACTAACGAATTGTTGGATCGAATCTGCATTCTGTGGATGTCTTTGACGGACGGTTTGGCCCAGGTCACCTCAATGTCATAATCGTTTCTTTTGAAATAATCTGAAAAGAAAAACAAACAGAATTCATTAATATTAATTTAAAATCAATCTAAAAGTACAAAAATTGTAAAATATTTGATTCGAATTTGATCAATTTTCAAAGAAATCAAGGATTCGTTTATGTATTTGGAATGTTTCATGTTTATAATACAAATCTTCTAGAAGTACATTGAAATTAGTGAATATTGAAAGCATATTTTAAACAAAAAATGTAAATTTTGAACTTCATACATTATTTAATTATAAAAGATTGATTATGAAACAAAATCTTTTAAAATTAGTAATGAAAATTAACGTTTCTTTAATTTTTAGTCAAAATATTGATTAGAAATAATAGTTGCAATTGTGAAATGAAGAATCTAAACATTATGTTCACCTGGTTTTGTTAATTTTATGGAAAATGGGCAAAAAAGAGCAAAAACTTATGAACTATTGATTGAAATGAATGAAAATTACAAATTCTATGTTTAAATTTTGAGATTCTTGAGCAATTTTTCAAAAAAAAATGTAGAATTTTGAACTTCATACATTATTTAATTATAAAAGATTGATTATGAAACAAAATCTTTTAAAATTAGTAATGAAAATTAACGTTTCTTTAATTTTTAGTCAAAATATTGATTAGAAATAATCGTTGCAATTGTGAAATGAAGAATCTAAAATCAATTGAGCAAAATTTCGTTAATCTGATTTTGTTAATTTTATGGAAACTGAGCAAAAAAGGGCAAAAACTTATGAACTATTGATTGAAATGAATGAAAAGTACAAATTCTATGTTTAAATTTTGAGATTCTTGAGCAATTTTTCAAAAAAAATATAATTCTAAAAAATTGTTGAATAATTTGATAATTAACTAAATTGAAAGAAATTAGTAGTTGAAATTGAATTGAATACAATTATACTTTAAATTAATGAAAGAGTTTTGAAGAATTGATGATTACTTTATAAATTATCTAATTGTGAAATGAACAATGAAAATTAACTTTGTAAAAAGTAACAATTTGATTGGTAACAAATCATTGCAATTAAGAACTTTTATAAAACTTTAGTTATTAGTAATTAGTAAAATATAAAGTGATGAAATTCCAATTAGGAAGATGAATTGTTATTATTCAATTGTGCTCTTGGAAATTGTTGAATTTACAATTGGAAAATGTTGAATTTCCAATTGAAAAATGTTGAATTTCCAATTGGAAAATGTTGAATTTCAAATTGGAAAATGTTGAATTTGAAATTGTTGAATTTCCAATTGGAAAATGTTGAATTTCCAATTGGAAAATTATTGAATTGTGCTCTTGGAAATTGTTCAATTTCATTTTCTAATTGTGAAAAGAATAATGAAAAATTTTACTTTGAAAAACTATCAAAAACAAATCAGCAATTAAGAAATTTTATAAAACTTTAGTTATTATTAATTAGTAAAATATAAAGTGATGAAATTCCAATTAGGAAGATGAATTGTTATTATTATGTTGAATTTCCAATTGGAAAATGTTCAATTTCATTTTCTAATTGTAAAATGAATAATGAAAAATTTTACTTTGAAAAACTATCAAAAACTAATGTAATTAGTAAAATATAAAGTGATGAAATTCCAATTAGGAAGATGAATTGTGCTCTTGGAAATTGTTGAATTTCCAATTGAAAAATGTTCAATTTCATTTTCTAATTGTGAAATGAATAATGAAAAATTTGAAAACTAAAAAAAAGATATTTTGTATAATTAATATTTAAAATTTTCTAATTTGAATGAAACTGTTAAGTTCTTTGTAAGATGTTGAATTACCTCTTAAGATTTCGAGACTTTTCTGTGCGTCGCGACGCGTGGCGAAGTGGATGAATCCGTAATCGCGATGCTTGTAGACCTTCTCGACGAAGCGAAATTGCAGCCCCAGGATGCAAACAATCATTTGCTTCATGTCGTCGGTGGAATGGCGAACTGGCATGTTTCGCACGAAGAGACGTCTGACCTGTTGAAAGACGTTCTGTATATTAATTTAAGGAATTTGCGTTCCTCTCTCTTGTTTTACCCTTCTCATGATGTCGTCGTCCACCTGGTGCAGAGGCGTGGACCAGTACAGCTGAATCCGTTGCCCGAAGATCATCGCGTCCTGATACATCAAACGCGTGAACGCGGCCTCCTGGTGAGTGCTGAACTCGACGAAGACGAATCCCCTGTTCCTATTCCTGTCCGTGTACGAGCGATACATGATCACGTCCAAGATCCCAGTCATCCCGATGCGGATGAGCTCACGCCACACCTGATCCTTCGTCTTCGCGTCGGGGATGCCGCCCAGGAAGAGTCTCTTGTTCTCCTGCGCCTTCTCGACGACGACCACGAATCCTGGCCTGATCTCTGTGCGATTCAACAACTCGATGGCGGCCACAGCGGACCACTGATTGCAGAAGGTCACGTAGGCGTGACGGCGCGTCAGCAGACCGTTCTCCTCGAGCATCAAACGCATCCTGTAGATCGGCCCGAACCGCAGCAGGATCGGATAAATCTCATCCTCGAACATGTCCTTCGGCAGCTGCAGCACCAAAACCTCGCAACCGTCCGGTGGAATCTGCACGCCGAAGCACGGACCCAGCATCCTCTGTCCGTTCACCTGTTGCAGAGGCATCCTGATCCTCATCGAGAATTCGCGCACCCTCCTCAGGGCGGCGAACGCTCGCGTCATAGCCAACTCGCTGTTACTTTGCATCGCAAACAATTGAAAACAACAAAAAACACGAAGACAACTTGCGAGAACAAACTGAGAGTCGTGTCCTGAAATAGTCCTTTCTTTCAATCCTCGGTGGTGGGAGAAATCCTGTCTCTGAATGGACCCGCCAATTTCAAAAAGTTTCAAATTCTCGTAGGAAACCTTTCGCATTTGTTTCTCTCGTAACGTAGGTCGCGTCAAAACAAACAAACAAACGCACCGAAACAAATGAATCTAAGACACCGACCTCCTTTATTTACATATTAGAGAATCGTTCACTTCGCATTATTCTCTCTAATTCAGACACAAATTTCGTAACTTTGCAAAAGTAACAAAAACAACTCAAAATATTTACATTTTCACATAACAATAATCGTATTTATTGCAACAAAACAATACCTCGGATAGTACGGCTTCGATCAGTGCGTTTACTACAGTAAATTGAAAGTTACAAAACAAAATAAATTTCAATTCGGAAAAAATAGTTGATTTTTTCTATATTTTTTTTTTAATTTGAGCTCCGGACAATACGTGGAATCCGATTATCCGTACTATGCGGGGTATTGCTGGCAATTACACAAAATTTAACCAAAAATTACATAACTACATTTTTTTTATACAAAATTTATTCAAATTGAAATGAAATATTTAAATGACTATTATCATTAAGAATCAACACTTTTGCAGATAACATTTAGTGTTTTCAAGCACTTAAATCTTAATGTTAATGTACATTATTTTGTTACATTAGTTTGTACATTATGTAATTTGAAAATCTCGTTTAACGATTTCAGTTTTTAATGAAAATGTAATCGTTCACTTCGCATTATTCTTTCTCATCCAGACACAAATTTCGTTACGTTTGCAAAAGTAACAAAAACAACTGAAAATATTTACATTTTCACATAACAATAACCGTATTTATTGCAACAAAACAATACCTCGGATAATACGGCTTCGATCAGTGCGTTTACTACAGTAAATTGAAAGTTACAAAACAAAATAAATTTCAATTCCGAAAAAATAGTTGATTTTTCTATATTTTTTTGCTTAAGTTGAGCTCCGGATTATACGTGGAATCCGATTATCCGCACTATGCGGGGTATTGCTGCTAATTACACAGTATTTAACCAAAAATTACATAACTACCTTTTTTTATACAAAATTTATTCAAATTGAATTGAAATATTTAAACATTTAGTGTTTTCAAGCAGTTAAATCTTAACAAAAACGACTCAAAATATTTATATTTTCACATAACAATAATCGTATTTATTGTAACATAACAATACCTCGGATAGTACGGCTTCGATCAGTGCGTTTACTACAGTAAATTGAAAGTTACAAAACAAAATAAATTTCAATTCGGAAAAAATAGTTGATTTTTCTATATTTTTTTTGTTTATGTTGAGCTCCGGATAATACGTGGAATCCGATTATCCGTACTATGCGGGGTATTGCTGCTAATTACACAGAATTTAAACAAAAATTACATAACTACATTTTTTTTATTAAATTTGAAATGAAATATTTAAATCATTACGATTCAACACTTTTACATTTAACATTTAGTGTTTTAAATTTTTTTACACGTTTAACGATTTCAGTTTTCAAGAAAATGTAATCAGAACGTACATAAATAAGTTTATTATCATGAAGATTCTGAGTGTATATATTTCGTCTCATAAAATGTAATTTAATGTTTGTAATTTATTTAGTATTTTTGTAAGATAAAACTTATCAGAAATTGATGAAAGTGTGTTTATGATAATCGTGCTTTTCGTATTTGTGAAAAACGATTTTAAACTGCGCATTATGTAAGTAAACATTATCGGATTAACGATTTTACGACCGACCGAAGAAAGAGAAACGAACCTTTATTTATTTACTTTTTTTCACATGTTTAGATAACATATTTCGATTTCAGGCAAATAATAAATATTGCATACAAAGTGTTCTTTTATTTATTTGTA